AGAGAATGTGCCTCTTTTTACATATGTCGTATTATGTGACTGTTTTAGATGTGTGTCAGCTGTTCAGTAGTAATCGGTAACAGTGAAAATGGTCCAGTGGCAGGGCCAGGAGGAAATCTCCTCCTCGGGCAACCTTTCAGTAGTAGTAGTAGTAGTAGTAGTAGTAGTAGTAGTAGTAGTAGTAGTAGTAGTAGTTCTTTTTATCATGCAACTGGGGCAGGCTTCCTATAGAAAATAGATGGGTTTCTATAGCAGAGGTATGTGGCAGTAAAAAAAAAATGCCAGCGCAGCACAAAAAAAATTATTGAAGGATTGACAGTAATACTATTGTATTTTTTTCAAAACTGGCATGATGAATATAATAGATTCACTTAGTCTGACAGTTGTCTAAATCTCTAGAAAGCAGTTACGGATATTCCAGCTTCAGTATCCACCTACTTCTAGTTAGCATAAATCAACCTTCCTATTACATCTCAAAGCCTCAAACTGATTAGCATCTCTGTGCATCAGAGGAAGAGACGTTGAAGCCTATTAGATGTTACTTGGCTGCATCATCCTGCATTGACTCCATTCTAAAAAGAAAACAGAATGTTACTTTGATTAAATTACAGTGAAATGTGTTTGTGCCAAAGAATTAAGCTGACAGTGTTTGTGATATAACATGCAATGACTTGTTTAACATGTAATGCAGAAATCAAAATTGAATTGCTCCCTACATCATGCTGAGTAAGGGGCCCGTTCGGCAAAGAACTGTCATATTAAATTCTTGTTGTGCGTCCAGACCCCTTTTGATTCCTAAACCTTTTGGTGGAGACTAATCTGAAAACCAGAATGACTCAGAGGCCCGCATGCCAAAAGTGGTCACATTTGAAAAAGTTCAATGAACCTGCAGAAGGAGGTTGGATATTGTTGCTCTACTACAAAGCTTGCAGCCAACCTACCTGCTGATTTGCTTTATGCTTAGGCTCATAATGTCATGTTGTGGCTGCTTGGCCTTCTTTGGAACTGGCAAGTGTAAAAAAAATTACTGAGCTTCTTCTGGTTAACTACACATGTAATTAACAAGACTACAACAGCCCACCTGCACTATAAAAGGCAATATTGATAACATTTTCAACATTGTACATTTTTGGCTGGGTTTCATTTGTCTTTAACTCACATGGCCACATGGAATCTGCTTTATACTGAGTCAGACGGTTAGTTTATCAAGGTTAGCCACTCTCCAGATTCTCAAGTAGAAAAAAGTCTTTCATGTACTACCTGAACTTTTTAACTGGAGGTACCAGAGATTGAGCCTGAGGTCTTCTGCAGGAATAGCAGGCCTGAGACCTTCTGTGCCACTGAGTCATGCCCCCTGTGAAAAACGAATTCCTGCAAGGTATATAGAAGACCTCGACTCAAAAAAGGTTAAACTAATTAAGCAACTGGTTTGAAGACATGAACTGCCTATGAAGCCCAATTAGGGTTGCCAAAGCCCCTGGTTTGGCAGGGGTCCCCTGCTTTTGGGGGGCTTTTACCCGCCGGCAGCCAGCTGGCCACCAGGGGAAGCCCTGCCCCCAAGCCCCAACACCTGCCGCCACCCCCTCCCTTCTTTCTTGAGAAAGAGGAGAGAGGAGTGGTTGCAGGCCAGCCAATCAGGCATGCAGAAATGCTGGCACCCTGCAGTTAAAGGGGCCCTAACTGCAGGGAGCCGGCATTTCCACGCACCCGATCTTCGCGGAGGTCAGACACATGGGGAAACACCAGCTCCCTGCAGTTAATGGGGCCCCTTTAACTTCAGGGAGCCGGCGTTTTCCGCACACCCGCTATTTGAGGAGGTCAGGCACGCGGGGAAATGCCGGCTCCCTGCAGTTAAAGGGGTCCCTTTAACTGCAGGGAACAGGTGCTCCTGTCAGGCGGGTGGGCGGGAGGACGTCCCCAATGTGATGTTATCACGTTGGGGATGTCCTGCCCCCTACAGGAATTACCCTCAAAGTCCCCCACTGGGGGGGAAGATAGGACTTGGCAACCCTCAGCCCAGTGTGCCTTCCATAGAACTATTCCACCACACAATATTTAGATATTCCAGCACCTTTGAATCACCACATTGCTGAAGGTTTTCACAGTTTCCACTCTGATACTTCACTGCTTCGTACAAAACAACCTTTATCTGTCGATATCAATAACAGAAAACATTTCTTCTTTAATTTTATGTCTATTTCCAGCTCTGCTTAAAAACGCACATACACACACTTCCCCCAACAGTACTGGCTTCAGCAACTGCCAGCTAGGCATTTTATTGGCAAGAATGATTGGCCACTGATTCACAACAATCAAAGGGGGGAGCAGAAAGGTCATCCTTATTGGTAGCTGTTGGGGGGAAAGGGGGGGAGCAGTTTCTTTGGCACAGCAATCAGAACACGAGCTCCTTACTAGATAGCAATTATGGAAATGCCCATTGCAAACTCAGACTTCAACTACATCATCATCTGCTTTTTCTCCCTCCCCCTTCTCCAGGTCCCTGCATTGCCAGTGGGTAGTTTCCACCACAGAACTATCTCATGGCTCCACTGTTGCCCAGGCTGTTTCTTTCTTCCTAGTAAAAGGGGTTTTAGTTTCAATTGGTGTGAAAAGATTATGGAGGTAGACGAAATTCAGTGCCAACTTCCTTATTTTTTACAGCCCTAAACAACTTGAGGTCAGGGTACCTGATGGACCATAGCCAATCCTGCAGTTAAGACCTGCCTCTCAAGCCCTGCTTGCCATGTCCATGCCTTCAGAGGTGAGGCGGGTGGCAACTAGAGACAGGACATTTTCTGTGGTGACACCTCATGTTTGGAAAGCCCTCCTCCTTGAGGCTCACCTGGTGTCTACTCTCTTTTAGAACATAAGAACATAAGAGACGCCAATGTTGGATCAGGCCAAAGGCCCATCCAGTCCAACACTCTGTGTCACACAGTGGCCAGAAATACCAGTGCCATCAGGAGGTCCAGCAGTGGGGCCAGGACATTAGAAGCCCTCCCACTGTTGACCCCCCCCCCCCAGCACCAAGAAGACAGAGCATCACTTGCCCCAGAGCCCCTAGCTATACCTTGTGGCTAATAGCCACTGATGGACCTCTGCTCCATATGCTTATCTAATTCCCTTTTGAAGCCATCCATGCTTGTAGCACCCACCACTTCCTGTGGCAGTGAATTCCATGTGTTTTAGGCACCAGGCCAATCACATTTTTTTACCGAGGCTTTTAGTTAGAAGATTTTGCCTTAACAGTTTCTGCTTCTGTTTTACGCAGTATTTGTGCTGCTTATGTTTTTAATGGCTTGTTTTTAATATTGTGGAGATTTTTATTGTAAATTGCCTTGAGCAGGGCTGTTTCTGTAAAAAAAAAATGCTCTAGCAATTTGGGGCTTAAAATCTGGGCCCATGGTGCTGTATGTTTACATTTTTCAAGATTCAAAAGGTTAGGCTAAATACATACTTCCTTTCCTGCTGTCCTTCCGTGATGATCAGATAAGAAACTCTGCTGTAGATAGCCAGGCATATCCTGGCCACATGGGAGCTACAGCAGAGTTACTGAGGAGCACTAGGGCTGTAAGAATTCACTGCTAGCAGTTGGAAGCCATGGAAGGAAAGCTAGCCATTTATAAAGGAAGCGCTTTCTTGCTTTTGTATTACAATAGAAGATTGCCCACAAATGTGCCCACATAAAAGTCTTTATTTTGGACATTTCCATTAAAACTAGGTAAAAGATCACTTGGACTCCTTGGGGATACGTTTAAGTGTATTGCCCTTTATGTTCTACCAAGTCATATTTATTTATTTATTTATTTATTATATTTATACCCCGCCCATCCCGCGAGTGGGCTCAGGGCGGCTAACACTGCGGTACAATGTACCTAAATGACATACATAAGATTTAAAACTCTATAAAATATCATAAGCAATACTTTAAAACATAAATTAACAGTTTCTGCTAAAGTGCATACAGTACAACACATTAGATGGCGCGCTTCCAGATCTCATACTACATTATTACACCACTCATCATCCCTCGTGCCGGAAAGCTTAGCGATATCCAGGACCAGATCTAAGATCCCAGCCTTCACTAGGATCATTGGTGGTAACAGTGGTGGCGGCTCCTATTGGAAGGCCTGGGGAAGAGCTCCGTCTTGCAGGCCCTGCGGAACTGTAAAAGGTCCCGCAGGGCCCTGATCTCCTCCGGGAGCTCATTCCTCCGGGAGCTCATATCTCTTGAACACATAAAGCTGTCTTATGCCCAATCAACTCATTGGTCTATCAGGGTTAGTACTGTCTGCTCTAACTGGCAGTGCTCTCCAGGGTCTCAGGCAAGAATCTTTTGCATTATATGCTACCTAATCCTAGTACTGGGAGATGCCAGTGATTGAACCTGGGAGCTTCTGCATGCAAAGCAGTGGTCATTTCCTGAAATATATCTTTATATGCCAGGAATTTACCAAGTCTAGTATCCAATTTAGAGGTCTGGGTCTATTGCAAATTAAACATGTATGATGTAATATTATTTTGTTCATTCTAAACCTGTTTCGTGATAATTAGTCAGTTTTTCTCCTTAGTTCCGTTATTGTATGAAAATGTAAAGAACTTATCCCTGTCTGTTTTCCCAAGGGACTCATAATTTTATGCCCTTTATAAATTCAAAAAAGTGAACATGTTGACATTTTAGTCAAAACATCCGTTTCAAAACAAGACTAAAAATACACCATATTTGAAGAAAAGTTTTGCACTAAATCTGTATTGGTGCATTTGTTTCTTCTTTTTTGCTTTATACCTTATTAAATATTTATTTGAAAACTGATGGAAAACAACTGAGTGAGGTTGGGAGACAGCTATTGATGGCAATGATCCTCATGTTCTGTTCTGCCTCTTTGTGTGAAATTGTGTCGCATGGTACATTTTTTTGTCTTTGTGCTGCCAAAATGCAATATCCTGTGTGTAAGAGCGTAGCTATATAAGATACATGTGTCTTTACTTTTACGTTGCAGTGTTCGGTCTCTTGTGGCCGAGGGCAGAGGTACCGAGATGTTTATTGCTTGTCGAAGGATGGGAAGCATTTGGAAAATGATCTTTGTAAGCATCTGGCTAAACCAAACGTGCAAAAAAAATGTAGAGGTGGCAGGTGCCCAAAGTGGAAAACAGGAGACTGGGGACAGGTAAGATGTGACATCCTGTTTTTGTACCAAGCTCTCTGAGTATTAAACATCTGGTTAGTAGCAGAAGGGTATAGCCCAGGGGAAGCATACGTGCTGGCCAAATAAAAGCTCCCAGGTTCAATCATTACCATCTCTAGAGCAAACACGGATCAGGTAATAGGGCTGGTGAGGACCTCCGCTTGAGGCTCCGGAAAACTGTTGCCAGGCAAAGCAGATAGTACAGAACTAGATGGAACAGCATTGTGATTTGGAATAAGGTTGCTGCATATTTTCACCTACATGTTACTGTTTGTGTTTCTTTTACAGTTTATTGGTGGAAAACTAAAATACGAGTCTTCTGGCACTTTTTAGTATGGCTAACCACCCAGGAAGGCTTATACTTAGTAAAACTCCTTTTCTGGTTTTAGAGCAATAGACTAACACGGCTATCCGGCTGAGTGTTTGTGCATGTCTTTCCTCAGAGAAGTATGGCATCCATATGGCTAGGGCCTCTGATCAGGTTCATATAAGACTGTGTTGCAAATCTTCATTGCATGACCATTTCTAGTCTGACCGCTCTAAACAGTCAAAAAGTAATTGGAGCTAATTCTGGCTCCATTACTCCTTCATTGTAGCATATGAATATTCATACTTTAATAATGGCAGTAACTTGGAATGAATATAACTCCCCTAGGTGTATTTATTTTACAGTCTACCCTTACATCAAAAACTTGATAATCAGATACTATCTTTACCTGAAGGAAAAACTAGGATTTTTACCACATGTGTTACCAAGAAAAGGGCCATATTAAATGCACATACAGGCTACAGTTGTGTACAGTAATTTTTTTAAAAGAAAAATCTTTTGTGTATTTTCTTTTCATAGAGAGATACTCTTACATTCAGGGTCATCTTCCTTCTGAGTAAATAGGTTATTGAAAAGCGAGAAGTAAGTCTCTGAGGGTACATATGCCTGAGGACTTGAAGACGGGTTATGAGAAATTGTTTTGTGAAGTAAAAAGATGTGCATGCTGCGGCCAGACTAGACTTACAGTTCCATAATCCCCTCCAGTCTCTCATTTTTTTCCATACCTGGGTCATCCCAGTTATTATTTGAAAGTTAGGGCCTTTCTAGCTAATATAGTACCCACCTTTTATAATTGTAATTTAGTGAGAGGAGATCACGACCTGTTGTTGCTAGGCAACTGCCTAGGCTGCAGTCAGGTGTTGTTCTGCACATAAGAAACCTGGATTGAGCCGAATAGCTGGGCTTGCTTATCACCTGCTGAGGGAAGAGGTGGCTGCAGTGGGCAGTGGATTACACAGAGCCAGAGTACAGGTGAAGACCTGGCGAAGGCAGAGAGGATAAGGAAGATACACAGAACAGACCGTTATTTGAACACTGACTCCGCTAAGCCAGGAATGTCAGTTGGCAGCTTTTGGTTAGCTGCCAGTGCCTAATAGGATTTTCTCGGCTCCTGTGAGTCAAGTTCTTGGCTGCCCTATTGACTTGGATGAAGGACAGCATGAAAGCAAAAGTGCCTTGAGTCCAGCTTCAGGAAGAATGAAAGCACCTTGGTTTCCTCTTCCAATCTTGAGGAAGATGGTCAGAGCAGAAAGCAGGGGACTTCATTTGGAGTACTGTGTATATGGTTGTGGTTACTGTATACTGTATGCCAATCTAGCAGTTCGAAAGCAAGAAATTGCAAGTAGATAAATAGGTACCATTTTGGTGGGAAGGTAACAGCGTTCTGTGCGCCTTGGTGTTTAGTCATGCTGGCCACATGGCCACGGAAACGTCTTTGGACAGCGCTGGCTCTTTGGCTTTGAAATGGAGATGAGCACCGCAACCCTAGAGTCGGATTCGACTGGCTTTTGAGCAAGGGAAACCTTTACCTTTACCTTACTGTCTCACAAAAAACAGTATTGCAGAGCTGGAAAAAGTGTGGAGGAGGGCAACCAAAACGATTAAGGGGTTTGAGCATCATTCATATGAGGAGAGACTAAAGAGGATGAGACTTGTCAGGTTAGAACAAAAGATAGGTAAGGGAAGACATGATAGTGGGTTATAAAATTATGCATAGGGTGGAGAAAGTAGATAGAGGGAGATTTTTCTCCTCTTCCCGTAATACTAGAACTTGGGGACACCCAGTGAAGTTAATGAACAATAGGTTCAGAAGAACAAAAGGAAATATCTCTTTACTTAAAAAGTAATTACATTTTTGAATTCATTGCTACTGAATGTGGTGATGGCCACAAGAATAGGTGGCTTTAAAAGGCAGTTAGACTGATTCGTGGAAGATAGTCATGGCTACTGGTGATGGTGACTAAAGGGAAGCTCCATCTACAGAGGCAGCAAATCTCTGAATACCAGCACTAAGATGCAGCATCAGGGGAAGGTTTTTGCTTCTGTGCCCTGTCTGTTGGCCCTCCAGGGCAACCGGCTGGCCCCTGTGTGAACCATTATGCTGGACTAAATGGACTGATCCAGCAGAGCTCTTATGTTCAGTTATAACATTGTCCTATACAACAAGGCACAGATAATGTTGAAGTCAGGGAAGGTCCAGCTGTAGTAAGTAGAGCCAGCCTCAGATCTGGGAGACCCTGTTAAAGACACGAAGCTCACAGGATAACCATGGGCTGCTCCCTGAGTGTAACTTACCTCACGTGGTTTGGGGTGGGGGACAGAACACAGAAGGTCAACCATGTACGCTTTTCTCTGCTAATTGGAGCAAAGGCAGGATAAACATGTGATTGATAGGACCTTACCAGCACCACAATAGTCTGGCTTTTGAAGCGAACCAGATCACTTACCAACAGTATATTTTAAAGTGTGTTGAGTTCAGCCTTACTTGAAAATATTATTACATTTCTCCCTAATTTCTCACTTGGTTATAGATTAGAAGTGCAGCTACATTTGTATATCATAGGCAGATTACAGAGTTCAGTTTTTAAAGCCCAAGATCTTGTTCTTCACTATTAAGAGACTGTAGAATAGCATACCATTTCTGGTCAGAGTCTTTGTTGAAGATTTGTGCCGCTTTTTATCTTCTGAAAACAATTTTCGTAGCTAATAAAATCATGCTGGTTAATGCGTAACAGTCTGTCAGTTGCCTGAGCATATATAAAAGCAGACATTTTAAAATTTCTAAAAATTATCTCACATGATTGGGTCCAATTTGAAAAGAAATCCCAGTTAATAAGGTTACAGTGTGATTTGTAGCCTATGACAATATGTTATGACTTCTCAATTAAAGACTACAATTGCATTCCTGTGGCCGGTTGCCTATGCTTAAACCCATTGACACCAATGGAACAAAGCATACATAACTAAGAGTGTGTAGTTGGATATACAAGCATGCCCTCCCCAAATGCAGATGTGAAATTAATCAAAATTTTTTATGTGTATACCTGTGTGCAGGTTCATAACTAGTCTTTGTTAGTAATTATAAGAAGAGCCCTGCTGGATCAGACCATTGACCCATCTAGGCTGCGATCATATGCACAATTAGACCCGACATAGGTGCGAATGCCGGGCAGATGTAAAAGGCGTGATCAGACAACATCTGGGAAGCACCCCGCAGATGTCAGCAACCCGTTCTCCTTCGCCACAGAAGCGAAGTTAAAAGACACCGGGGAAAATCCGGTAGTAAACAGGTTGCGACGGGCCACAGACAGACTTTCCCCTGTCTGATCGCTCCAGCGCACTCTCCTGCCATCGGAATGGTCTGATCAGGCCATCCCGACTCCGTGCCATTGTTTTTCCCCCCTTCTCTGTCTGTGCATCATTGCAAACTCCATAGGGAGCCCTCAGTGCGGAGGTGCGATTCATCGATTCCTCGGTTAAGCCGGTGGGAAACAAACGGCACAAAAGACCCCAACTCACCCACAGTTGCATCTGATCACACACTGATGGGCTGCACCTGCAGCTTCAAAGGGAGGTTTGATCATGCAACTGCGGGTCTATTTCCTCTGGAGGAAATAGCCTCGCTTCCTCTGGAGGAAATAGCCTCGCTTCCCTCCCATTTTATCTGGCGCGTGTGACCATACCCCTAGTCCACTATCCTGTCTCACATAGTGGTCAAGCAGTTATTCAGTCCATGAACAGGCTACTATGAGGGCTTTCCCACAATTTGTTGTCAACTTGTGGAAAACTGATATGTCCTTCATTATATTATAGCGAACAATACCCATTTAGGCCATGTAGAGATCTGACCCATGAAGTGGTATGCTGTTGTGAAAATGGCTTTTTAAATTATTATTTACCAAATAACATATCATATGACACCCACTTAAAACATTTTAAAATCAGCCATCATTACTCCAAGAACACTTCCTTATATAGTCCATCTCAAAAGTCATATAATTTATTATGGCACAAAGCAGTGGCATATTTTGTCTAGCTTTGCTGTAGGAAAGTTAGAGCAACAAGAATTGCCTCATTAGAACGTTATGCTTTTTATGTTAGACTCCATTGTTGGGGAAATATTTTTGTTAGTTGCTGCTAAGTATTTTCTGAAGCCTGTTGAGAAATGACCAGTTAAAAGGAATGTAATAGCACTCTAGTTTATGTGAGTTTCTTGTAAGTCCAGGCACAAGAAGCATGGCCATAAGTTAAGAAAAAAACAAAGACACTGTGTCCGGAGATTACAAGAGGAAAGGAAGTAGAGACATGGTGTACTATAAGACACCTGGGGGAAAGCCTGCAAAAATAATGGTTCATCTTTTATATAGTATTACCAAAGGTAGAGAGGGATGAAGAGACAAAAATCATGAAAGTGAATAAGGCATTACTTAAAAAAAATGGCTCTGTGCCCCTATTTGGCAGCTAGTTTTATGGAAAGGTCACACAGGTAGAAGGTGGTACCATTCTAGGGTTGCCAAATGTTACCTACCTTGCCGGCGGGAGACTCCAGCACGGCTCCTGGTGTGTGCGCGCCACATGCATGTCACAGGGAAGTGACGTTATGACGCCGGGAACGCTGGGGGCGGGGCCACGGCCATACAAGGGAAAACCATAGAGTTTTCTCTTGTAGGCCGTGGCCCCGCCCCCAGCGTTCCCGGCGTCATAACGTCACTTCCCTGTGATGTGCTTGCTGGGGCGGGGTTCCCCCTGGGGCCCGATTCCCCGGCGTCAGGGAACGGGCCTCTGGAGTGGGGGGATTTTTGCCCCCCGGGGGGATTTGGCAGCCCTATACCATTCTCAGAATAAGACATTTTTCATAATTTTTAACCAGTTAGTATGGTATGGTAGTAGTATGTAGGGTTGCCAACTTCCAAGTGGGGCCTGGAACCCTATGTAATTACAACTGATCTCCAGACTACAGAAATCAGTTCTCCTGAAGAAAATGGAGGGTGGATATTATATCCTTCTGAATCCCCCAGCCCTTCCCAGGCTTCACCACCAAATCTCCAGGAATTTCCCAACACGGAGTTGGCAACCCTAATCTTTACTGCACTTTTCTGCTTTCAGGTAAAGGAGTGGTTTACATGAACTGTGAGCTATCTGACATTTATACCTCACCTTTCTCCCCAGTGGGGACCCAAAACAGCTTACATCATTCTCCTCTCCTCCATTGTATTCTCACAACAACCCTGTGAGGTCGGTTAGGATGTGTGTGACTAGCCCAATTGTGTGACTAGCCCAATGTCACCTTGCACATTTCCATAGTCAAGTGAGTAGAGAGCCAGTTTGGTGTAGTGGTTAAGTGCGCGGACTCTAAACTGGGAGAATCGGGTTTGATTCCCCACTCCTCCACTTGCAGTTGCTGGATGACCTTGGGCAAGCCATAGTTCTGTCAGAGCTGTTCTTGAAAGAGCTCTCAGCCCCACCTACCTCACAGGGTGTCTGTCATGGGGAGGGGAAGGGAAAGGAGTTTGTAAGACTCCGAGTGAAGGGTGGGGTATAAATCCAATCTCTTCTTCTTCTGTTTGGACCTGTTTTTCCCAGATCCTAGTGTAAAGCTCAAACCACTACACCACATTGGCTCTCAGCCACACATCTGAATCCCTCTTGCCAGAAAAAGCCTTGGACATAGCCATGATGTGTTCTAACATCTGTCTTGAAGGAGCTATTACTATCTTCCTAGCAGTACTAATAGGGATATTTGATTTCACTTCAGCTACAGTGTATCACTGTATATTATCACAGCAAATGTAAAACACTTGTAAATCACAAACGAGGGCTGAAATCCCTTTCAAAATACACCGCAGTTTAGTGTTTCATATACATCCCTCAGTCTTTGAACCTACTACTCCATTATCCCATGAGAATAAACAAGTGTTATTAATCACAGGGGAAAGCACCACACCATATGGGAAACATTTGCATCACCCTCCACAGAAATCTAGCTGCTCCACTTTTCCAAGTTACACAAAACTAGCCTTTCATAAATATTTATAACCTGAGGAATGTCCATAGTCAGCTGTTCTTGGAGTCTGTTCGCTTTACGGAGCACACAGTCGATAAAAGCTGCAGCGCAGGAGAAATCCTGTTTTAACTTGTTTGGGTAAATGATCTTTTTCCAAAACAAAAATACACACACAATACAAATTATGAATGTAAGAAGATGAAATAAAAGTGTGATTTGCAAAAAAACAACAACAACCCCTAATTATTGCCCTGACCTGGATAGCCCAGGCTAGCCCAGTCTCATCAGGCCTTGGAAGCTAAGCAGGGTCGGCCCTGGCCAGTATTTGGATGGGAGACCTCCAAGGAATACCAGGGTTGTGACACAGAGGCAGGCCATGGCAAACCACCTCTGAACGTCTCTTGCCTTGAAAACCCTATGGGTTTGCCATAAGTCGGCCCTGACTTGACGGCACTTTCCACTGCCACCATCAGGAATTTGCAATGAAAACCAAAAAAAAACTTGCTCTGATAAATGTGATGACATTATGGAATTTATGGACTTGTTGCTAATTGCTCCCACTGTCCCAAGAGCTGTCAAAAAATACTTGCAGATGGCAGAATGCTATCCCCGGTATCCATGTTTCAAATGCACTATAACTTCAAGAACGTTTATAGATATTACATTAATAGATTATAAATTGATGCTTAATAGCTCCCGCATTAACAAGGCCTATCAAACGATTGCCTTCAGTCTTGCTAAATGTCAGCTAAAATACGTTGCACCATCTTGACTTTTAAACCTTTCATCTGTAAAAGTAATTATCCTCTTCTACACGTGCTCAAGCGCCTTTTAAGATGTACTGATGAGCCATATATCATCTGCTGTCACATGAGGGCAGCAATCCTATGCACTCTTACTAGGAATTAAATGCCGTTGAACTGGAGAGGACCTTGTTTATGCATAACAATTGTATATAATTGGGCTGCATGTGTCCTTTTGGTATGTTGTTGACAAATCTGCGGCCCATTACCCATGAATAAATGACCTCAGTGGGACTTACATGTAAGTGTGTTCTGGACTGCGACCATTATCACTATCAAGCTCTACTTAATTGTTTTAATTAGGCTGTTAAAACAAGGATCTCTAGACAAATATTGTTGGGGTTTGTCTGTTCTTAGTTTGGACCAATGTTCAGCCTGGCTTCACTGCGATTAGCGTTAGGCAGAATATGTTCAAATCATAATAAAACCAGGAGTCACATGAAAAAAGGACAGAAAGAAGACAGATTGCTAGCTAGAGAATTGGCCACCCACCGATTACTGTAGAGGGTGCAGAAAACCCTGTTCCCTCCCGTGGGGAGGCAGGAGGCAGAATGCCCAGAAACCTCATAAGGCAGTGATCCCATTGGTTTACCTGTGGGAACCTTTGAGGAACAAGCCTTTGACAATCTATAGGTGCAGCAACATCTGTCCAGCCTTTTGTTGCTTCTGAACATCCCCAATTTGATGGCTTTCTTCCTCTCCCCCCCCCCAAGCATTCAGGAAGCTCATAATCCCATTAAGAGCCTTATGCAAGGGGCCATGACTTGTCACTTACCTCGAAGCATGAACATTTTGCTCTTTTGAGAGGTTAAGCTGGATGGTATTTATATACGTGAGGAGTTTTGTACACATAGCTGTACCTTGAATAATTCTGCTAGGATCCCAACAGCTGGAAGCACTTTATGGATGCAAAATAATCCTCTGTGTCCTGAAGAACTTTTTTTTTTGCCATCAAGTCCCAGCTGATTTAGAGCAACCCTTGTGGGGTTTTCAAGGCAAGAGGCATTCAGAGGTGGTTTGCCATTGTCTGGCCCTGCCTCGCAACACTGGGTCTCTCATCCATCTACTAACCAGGGCCCAGCCTGCTTAGTTTCTGAAGATTGGGCTAACCTGGGTTATCCAGGTCCGGGCATCCTGCAGAATATTTCCCTTGGGGGGAAAGCGGGTGATTCTGTGGCTCCAAAGCAAAGCCTGCCGCACCAAGAGGCAGATCAGGGTGGCTTTCTCAGTCAGTAGGTTTCAGGCACCAGTAAAGATAGTCCATTGTCAGTTGCTTCATTTTCTTACACTAAGCTTTAGAAATATAGTTGTGGTTACACTCAGACCTGCACAGTGTTATGATCTAGGTTTATAAAACCGATTCTGAGTGTGTTAAGCTGATGGAAAGGGGTGAAACCAAAAAAATGGCTCAAGTGGAATAACTGGTAACCAAATATAAAAATTTGGGTGCATCCCAGTTTTGGGGAGAGCTAAGCATGCACCAGGTTTGCATTTTCTACCTCAGACATAAAAGCCCTGCTCAAAACTGCTGGTAGGTAGCATTGCTGAATTGCCTGCAGAAAGCAGTGGGGACCTTTCTTAGAATTCTCTCTGCCTTTCCAAATACTAGAGATATTTTTACCTACCATAAAAAAAATAGATATTTGACACTTACTTTTTGTCCTTCATCAGTGCTCGGTGTCCTGTGGGAGAGGCGTTCAGCAGAGAAGCGTCTACTGCCATCTGGGCAGTCACAAAACAGTTAGGGAAACCGAATGTGCCCAGCTCAAGAATGCCAAATGACTGAATGTACCATCTACAAATGGGAAACAGAAGACTGGCAAGAGGTACGTAGATAAGAGTGTGTGTCTGGAAGCACAGCTTACACTAAAGTATATTAGAGAGAAAGTGCTCCTGATATTCTTTGCTATTGTATTACCTGAATTAGGGCATTTCAGTTGGCAGGATGGCATACAGGGTGGACTCATGGCCAGGGACAAGTGCCAGTTAGATCATCGGAATGGTTGTTCAGGCAAATGCTCAGGATTAAGTTCTTAAAGAAACCCAAGGATGCATCCAAAAACCTATTAAAGTTGGCGACCTGATCCACAAATCAAAACAGGAAGCTTATCTTTTTCAGCAGGCAAAATAACTGTGTGTGTGTTTTTTAATGGGTGCAGTGTTTGATCAATGAATGAAGTGGGCAGCATAAGCAGTACTCATAGCTACTGTCATCTGCAGAAAAAATGATTACCACTTTTTCTTCAGTGTAATCCACTTATTATTAACCATGTACCTAATCAGTAAAGGCAAATTTGTTGTAACATGTTTACATGAGTTATAGAAAACTCATAAAAACTTGCATTCTGCAAGAACAATTGTATTTCAAAAAGATCCTTTCTGGGAAGCAACGTGCAGTTTTGTGCAGGAAACGTTTGATAGTGAATAGTGATGTATATACAACAAATAAGTCCCACCCGTTGTCAAGATTCTGTCATAACATATACAAAAAATCTAATGTGTGGTGTGCGGGTATTGAGACTGACCATGTTTAGCAAGTGGCATTAAGGCAACAGACTCCACCCCTGATGTATATGTGTTCACTTGAAGGGGTGTAGAGATGTCCTCGTCTTCATTTACGTTAGAAGGAGCAGGAAAGGGCTCTCTCACAGTAATCAAGGACCCTGCATTTTCATATGCAGATTTTGTCAGGCTTCTCACAATCTATTGGCATATTCTTACAAGAATTTGACACTCCCTTAAAGCAAACATGGGAATATTGGGGGCAGACTTTGCTGTGGGATTTGTCACCCAAATGCCACTCCCCTTCCTATATACATTAGTTCTCATGGATAGGTTACATAAAAAGGTTGTGTAGTTATAAAATGTAGTTACACGTAGGTAAGGGGAGGGACAAACAAAGGTCATTCTCAAAACCAGTGTTGTTTAAATAGTTCTGTTGACACCCTTTTTTAAAAAAGAAAAAACATGTTTCTAAAGCCTGCTGTATATGGTTCTGGTTAGAAAGAGATAATGCGAAATAACAAGACATCCAACAGTTCTCAGCATTGTGGTTTCACAAGGTCTGGCATGATTAATATTGATCTCCAGAGTCAAGGTTTCACAGCAAATTAGTCAGCAGCAGCTAATTTAGGGAAGGAGGCTGTGGGAAGAAGGGAACACTCCTGTTCGGCTCTCAATCTGTTGTCTGCCCATTGTGTGTTTTGTAAACTTTTCCTCAGACAGGTCAGACTTGTGTGTCTCACGTCTCTCTGTGTGTGTCTTTATTGAAACGGGGCCCGTTCCAGTCGGGGCCAGAATTGGGTGTATACATGTTGGTATGTGGTAGGTGTGTGGTGGTTCTAGTTTGATGTATTGTATATCTCAAAATAAGCAACAGATTTAAAAGTATACGTTTGTAAGTATGAACCTCCAAACTCATAATATAGTTTTGAACTGAGGCTGTTGGATTCTTTACCTGATGCCTCCCCACGCCACCACCGCCATTTAAGTTTGTGAAGGCTACAACATCATGCTTAGCATGTTGGACATTGTCTTGTGACCATCCACTTTTTTATCACTTTTGCTTGATGAGCTTCGATGTTAAGGGAGGGGCGCGAAACATAAAAAGCAAACATAGTGCCTGGCTCTCCAAATTCCAAGCGCAACTCACAGACAGCAGAAAGAATGCCCAAGGCTGAGGCAGTAGCCTCCTCTTTTTAATCATCTCTCAGGCAATGATCTTGCCCTTGACTTGCCTCAACATGTTGCATTAATGCAATCAGAAGCCCCCAGCATAACACACACACACCCAGCATATTGTGGACCTAGGGGATAATTTTGAAATTTGCTTTCTGCTCGCTTAAAATCCAGAGAAACAGCAGTTACATATAAAGATATATGAGGATTAATAGAAACCCTCAGGAAACATATATTAATTCAACGGTTGTAAAACATCATGACTCAAGCAGTGCTACAGTAACGTACACCAGCTCAGAATCCTCTTTCTGTAGAAAGTAAGGAACAAAAAAAAAAAAGATTTGACTTTGCATTGTCGGTCTTCAGCAGAGGTATTGTAGGAAACACACTGTAAATGCAACACATCAAAACTAATTCAGATAATTCATTTACAAGCCCTTTTTCAAAAAGTAAGTCATCAAATAGCATCTGTTTGCTGAACTTACCAAATTGGAGTAATTAGCTCGCAAAGCCACGGCTCCTGCCCTGCCTTTCCCTCTCTTTCTTTCTCTCTGGCTGTTCCTCACCATTTTTTGCTTTAACTTTCTACAACTGGAAAGCATTAGATACCCCTCCCCCCCACACACACACACATTGCCAACCCTTTTGTGGGAGGTGAATGTTTGATGGGTCACGCTGGTTTTCTAAAGCTTTCCAGGCTCCCCCTATGCTGGGTGTGTGTGTGTGTGTGTGTACACACACACATACACTCTCCCTCTCTCTCTAAATCTCTAACATGTGATAGAACAGAGTGCAAGGAATGTCTTTTTAAAATTGTTTTTAAAGCCTGATTATCTTCTTCCCCATAAATAATCATTAATTGAATGACGGTCCAGACTTTTGAATTCTTGGTCCTTTATAGATATAGATAAGACCGCCGTTGGGGGGGGGGGTTGGCTGATGGCCCGTAAATGGGGGGGAGGACCCTACCTTGCTTGCAAATAAATGAGTTTGCATGTAATTTATTAAGTACAGAGTGAATTAAGCCAGCGGGTAGTAAATCCAAAGTGACACAAAAGGTCTGTTGGAACTAGGGTTATGTTCTCATTAGTGCCTAAATTTAAATGGCTGTCTCTTCCTGATTTAGTTTTCCCTGCTCTTGTTCACAGGCCTTGTAGAATTCAGATGTGCTTATTTTGTTTTATTTCTGTATGCGACTGCACTTGAAGATGGTCTGGAAACTGCATTTATTCCAAAGTTTCCTTTCCATGGAGACTCCTTTTTCAATGGGAGAAGTCTTCTGTTGTTAATAGGGTGTTCCTGTAGGAACCACATCTTGCCTGGACTAAAAGAGAAGAAGAAGAGATTGGATTTATACCCCACCCTTCACTACCTGAAGGAGAGCAGTTTACAATCTCCTTTCCCTTCCCTCCCCACAGCAGACACCCTGTGAGTTGGTGGGGCTGAGAGCTCTTTTGAGAACTGCTCTTGAGAGAACAGCTCTGAGACTGACCCAAAGTCACACCAGCAGCTGCATATGGAGGCGTGAGGAATCAAACCCAGTTCTCCCAGATTAGAGTCCGCACTCCTAACCACTGTACCAAACTGGCACCAAAGAGTTTTACTGGCTGTTTGTGTATGTCACCAGACTCAATCCAAGGTGCTGCTCTTCACTTTTAAAGCCTTAAACTACTTAGATATCATTTTGAAATGTAGCCAGATCCCCTGATGGAAACGGGAGTCCCCCGCCACCAGGTCTTGCCCCCACCCAGCTGCCAGTCAGCTGGCTGTCATGAGATTTACCAGTAGAGAAAGAAAGGGACAGGCCATGGTGCTGGCATCACACAGGAAGTGACATCACACTATCAACTTCTGGGCAACGCTCTGGCATTTGGGCAAAAACTGTGTGGTAGAAGCCAGTTTTACCATAGAGTTTTTGCCCAATCACCCAGATGTCACTGGTGTGATGACATCCCTTCCTGTGCGGTGCTGGCAACATGGCTTGGGCCTTTCTCCTGGTGAATCCCCCCCCCCCCAATTCCCTGCCAGTTGCCAGGAGGACCCTGGCAACCCTAACCATGCTCTGGGTTACTGGAAATGTGATCAGCTATGGCTTGAAGTAGAAGGATAGTGGGGAAAATGTTTGTGGAATTTCTCACACTGAAGTGAGGCCCAACCAGCTGCATCACTGGAAAGCTTCTGGTGAATGGCAAAACCAAGGCTGATTTCGCACTAGAGCTGCCTCGATGTTGCGCTGCTGTTTGCCCCAATACTATTGGTCAATTTCACACCCAAAGCTGCGGGGGTGCATTTTGACTCGCAGCTTCGCCCGATTTCCCCCACAGTTTCGTGATCCTGTTTTTTTGAGGATCATGAAACTGCGGAGGAAATCAGGCGAAGACGTGGGTCAAATGCAGCCCCGCTGCTTCGGGTGTGAAATTGACCAATAGTATCGGGGCAAATGGCGGCGCAATATCGAGGCAGCCCTAGTGCGAAATCAGCCCAAGTGAATCTTGGAGAGAAAATCCAAATCATATGAACACTGCAGCTAAAATTCAATTATCCCATTGCAGTGATCCCTGTTTTTCTCTCTCTAAAGGAAAGTAAAACAGTGCTGCTACCAAAAGCACTGGTCTCCCAAGCTCAGGCTGGGAATTCTGCAATTGAAGCAAGCAGCTACTAAATAACACCTTCATAATTTCTTTGGTCCTACGGATTTTTCACCCAGCTCAGTATAGTTAAGAAACAGCTTGTGAGTAAGCATCAGTCATTTTCATTAGATAGTGCTTTGTACTTTCTGCCTCTAGAAATCAGAAAACCCACACTGACTAGGATGTACATTCATTTTAAATACAGCTCATTTCCAGTCTCTGTACTACATTCCAGGCTAAAGGATACTGTGGGGGGAAAGTCCTGGAGGTCACAAGGAAGAAGGAAATCTCTTCTATCTGCATTTTGCTTGAAGTCTGGCAAATTCCTGCATCCTATCTCATTTCTATAATCCCCTCAGATTTGGCTCTGACAGCTAATATAGTACAGTACACTTGGGTAAAGCTGCATTGCCCAGCTAGCTAAATATCATAATTAATAATAATTACAAACTATCATTTCATAGCATAATTTAGCGATCATTGAAAGCCCAGAGGTGCTAACTTGGTTAAACACAGTTGTGATGCAGACAGTGAGACTGTGGCATTTGAATATCCCATCTGTGTCTGTAATAGGGGTGTGCAAAAAAGTTCAGTATTTTTCCGATTCAGGTCTATTGGACACCTAAAATATTGGTATTCCCAAATCCCAGTATTAGTATTTTATCGTTTCAGGTAAATATTTGAGAAACCTGAATGTATTCATCTCCATTCTACCTTATGGGTACCATCCCCATAGGGTATAATGGAGTTCAGAAGGCACAATGTGATGAATTCAGAAGGCATTTAAACCTATTCTGAACTTCACCTGTGGGGCAGGCTCACCCACCCCGCTGTTAGGCTGACATGGCTGGAAGTAGATTTATCGATCCATTTTGACCCCCTCGCCCATTTCCAAGTGAGAGGGACAGAAGGGCTTTTAGCCATTTAATCCTGACAGGGGGGCGGGCTCACCCACCCCCTGTTTGGCTGACATGGCTGGAAGCAGATTCATTGATCTCTTTCACTCCTGCCCCCTGCTTCCAAGCAGGGGAGAGAGAAAGGGATCAATTAAATGGCTTTTAGCCATTTGAACTTAACAGCAGGGCAGATGAGCCCACCACGCTTTTAGACTAGCATGGCTGGAAGCCAATTCATCGATCCCTTTTGCTCCCCCCTGCAAAAGGGATCAATGAAATGGCTTTTAGCCATTTAAACCTAACAGTGGGGAGGGTGAGCATGCCCCACTGTTAGGCTGGCATGACTGGAAAGAAATAGAAAACACTGTGCAGAAGTCAACTACTGTATATACCCCATAAAGATGCTTTGAAAATACTAAATTGGTCTCATCTTTCAGTTACAGCAATCAAACTATTTTTGAACGGTGCATATAGCCAAATATTTTAAAGCAAATTTATTAGGTATGTACAAGTAGGTGACTTCTGCATTGTGTTTTATGTTTCTTTTTTGCCTTTATACACTGTGGTCCTGTTGTGTTTGTTATTACTCTGACATGGCTGAAAGCCAATTCATCAATCCCTTTCACTCCCCACCCCGGCTTTTAGCCATTTAAACCTAACAGCGGGGCAAAAATGCTTGACTAGCAGAGTTGTGCCTACTGGTGTGCAATGAAAAAATATTCAGTAATATTCGGATTTGGGGTTTAAAAACTGGAATACATTCAGAATACCAATATCAGTATTGTATTGGTATTCGGGAATTCTCAGGAATCCCAAATATATTCAGCTTCATTATACCCTATGGGGCCATTGTAGTCAATGGCAAATCTCCTAGGGTATATTCAGTGGGATGGGGGGGGGATGGGGGACCAAATTTGCAGTGTAGATGCTGAAGCCTCTCCACAAAAGAATCTCCAAGTTTCAACAAGATTGGACCAAGGGGTCCAATTCTATGGGCACTCAAAGAGGGTGCCCCCATACTCCATTGTTTCCAATGGGGAGGGAATAGCAAGGCAGTATAAGCCTTGCAGAATGTCCCAGAAAATCCCTGCAGTTGAAAGTGGGGGGGGGGGCATTTTTGCAAGACCAGCAGCAGAACCAGTGCCACTGTGGCAGTGATAAAACCTTACAGGACTAAGGTCAGATTTGAGAATCTCTAAAGTGGGGGGGGGGACATTTCTGCAAGGAAAGCAGAACCAGTGCAATGTACTAGTGCCCAGCAGCAGAACCCAGTGCCAATGTGGCAGCAACTGGCTCTGCTGTCCTTGGAGAAATGCCGCCCTCAGTTTCTACTTCAGAGAGCCATTTTGGTGTAGTGGTTAGGACCACAGACTCTGATCTGGGAGAACCAGGTTTGATTCCCCACTCTTGCACATGCAGCTGCTGGTGTGACCTTGGGTCAGTTACAAGTTTTTCAGAGCTGTTCTCTCATGAGCAGTTCTCAAAAGAGTTCTCTCAGCCCCACCTACCTCACAGGGTGTCTGTTGTGGGGAGGAGAAGGGAAAGGAAATTGTAAGCCACTCTGAGACTCCTTCAGGTAGTGAAGGGCGGGGTATAAATCCAATCTCCTCCTCCTCCTCTTCCTCCTCCTCCTCCTCTTCTTCTAGATTTGCCATTGACTATATTGACCCCAGAAGGTATAATGGATAGCCAAGTAGTAATCGGGAATCTCTATTTGGCTACTGAATAGGTGCTCTGATTTGGTATTTGGATGAATGAATACCTCAGTAATGCTGCTAAGGCAATAATCAGGTATTTATTTGGCTCGGTATATACCGAATGCAGACCCCTATTCGTGCTATGGCGGCACAACTCTGCAAGTGAAGCATTTAAACTTAAAATCCCTTTAAACATGCTGTGTGTGAGGAACCCAGAAGCAGCGTAAGTTCATCCGGAAGGTGGGTGAACTTGTGCCGCTTTGGTGAGTGAAGCTGAGCCCAAATAAAACCCAAATAAATATCAGTTTTTATTCGGGCTCAGCTAGATCAGGTATTTATTTGACTCAGTATATATGAGCTCTAGTCTGTAATTGGAATTTGACATTGGTAGTTTTTCCCTAAAAAGTAGCCACAGGGAGACTAGATATAGATCTGGGCTGGACACTAGTTAAGGGGTTAAGGGGTATATAAACTCTTTCTCTTCCCTTCCCCCCACTAAAAATGCCCTTCTCTGGCATTACTTCAAGTGGTTGATAGGGGGGAAAACAGACATATTATGGGTATCAGTCTTTTTTCCCTATGAAACTTAAAGAAGGCATGAGGACGGAGGACCATTTCCAGTTGTCCTATGCAGGAGCCATAATCCAGATCAGGGGTCTTTTCTCCCCATCAGTTACATCACATTTAATTTGTCCCTTAAGTAAGGAAACATTTTGTGAAAGTGTCCTCAATCATATCTATATTTATGTGGAAGTAAGCACCACTGAATTCAGTTGCCCTTACACTCTAGGAAGTGTATACGGGATTTCAACCTGTCAGCTGAAATCCTGAAGAATGTGATAATTATTTGTTACAATTTGTGCTGCTGGTCACACTTTAAAACTTAGGTGATAGGGGAATGCATCTTAATATAAAAATATACAGTAATAATAACCCCATTTGCTTACTGGGTAACTGTATGCTTCAGTTAGCCTTCATTTAGTTGTCTCTAAGTCAGTTTTCTATCCCCCTACCCCATGATTTCAGTATAAATTCCCATCCTAATTCTGGTCCAGAGGTAGATAAATTGACATTTTAAAAATAAACTGCAGGTGTAGAGAAGCATCTCTCTCTCAAAAGGATCATCTGTCCCATCATCAACCCTTTTCTTTCATTCCTCTACCTACATAAGTGGCACCAGATGGCCTCCAACCACTCTCTTTGTCTTTACAGTGCAGCAAAACATGTGGGGAAGGGTCCAGGTACCGCAAAGTGATCTGCGTGGATCAAAACAGACAAGAAGTGGATGGGCTTCACTGTGATCCAAGCAAGAGGCCGCCTGATGTTGAGAGTTGCAACTTGCCACCATGCGAGTACATCTGGATTACAGGAGATTGGTCAGAGGTATGTGTCTCCTAGAGAAGAGGAAAGTTAGGCTTTGGACTTAATGGGGGGGGGATTCTAAACGATGCACTCCAGGTTCAAGGGATAAAGTGTGCTAATCAGTTGATTTATACAGTGCTTCCTCTTACTTTCTTGGAGCAAATCGTTTGTTGGTGTGGATTTCCTTCTTTGTAAGTAAATGAACTTTTGGTAGGGGAATGTAACTTGAGGGGAACAGAAAGAGAAGTAGATGAAAGGCAGTGGCAAGCAGGCTCCCAGTTAGACCATGACAGGAAGGAATTCTGTAGTTGTGGAGCAGCTATTGAAAATGCCTCTGTCCATTCCCTTGCTTTTCAAATTTGGCTCATAGACTGTTACCAATGTTAACTTCTGAACTGAGGCACAGGCTGGGAGACAGTCTGTGGAATCTACAGCCCAAGCCAAATGGGCCTATATAAGTCAAACTGGATCTTTTTCCTACATTCATGAGGATTTGTTAGAATGCATTTAAAAGCAACATAAAACCGAGTATCACAAGTTTCTAAAACCTGAAACATAACTGCAGGCTAATAAGACAGACCCACTGTCAAAGACCCTCCATAACTAAATTTCATTAAAGATCCCCCTAAGAATGGCCATTTTCAACAACTGGCGGGATACCTGTAGACTGTGATACCACGACTCTGAAATTGCATCCCACTGAAACTGCTTTCAGCAATTCCTGCATCATGGTATCAGGGTACAAAAGGGCCTCTCTTGGAGCCAGACTAAGTAGGAGTACTGACTTGGTGGTCTTTGCCCAGGCAAGTCTACACAGGAGAAAATGCTGTAGTCCCACACGTTTCAGGGCTTGAAGGGATGCAACCACCCCTTTTAACCACCCAGCTAACTGCCAGGCAATGTAAATTGAAAAAAACAGGAATAGGATGCTCCTGGCTGCTTATGCTTGACAATCTGGCAGTCCCTCCGAAAGGCAAAACGGTCCCAGAAGTAACAAGTAAATCAAGAAATACTGGGGTTTTTTTAAATGGATATAGAAGAAGAGGAGGAGGAAGAGGAGGAGATTGGATTTATATCCTGCCCTTCACTACCCAAAGATGTCTCAGAGCGGCTTACAAACTCCTTTCCCTCCCCCTCCCCACAACAGACATCCTGTGAGGTAGGTGGGACTGAGAGAGCTCTTGACATACTGCTCTTTTTCAAGAACAGCTCTTATCAGAACTATGGCTTGCCCAAGGTCATTCAGCCAGGTGCAAGTGGAGGAGTGGGGAATCAAACCCGTTTCTCCCAGATTAGAGTCCACGCACTTAACCACTACACCAAACTGAATTTGGTTTGAGTTACACTCAAAAGCAGTAGTTCACAATAGTTAAGCATTCATGTATTGAAAATAGCTGAACAATCCTAAGCAAAGTTACAGGCTCTCTTTTAGAGAGCCAGTTTGGTGTAGTGGTTAGGAGCATGGACTTTATTCTGGGAGAACCGGGTTTGATTCCCCACTCCTCCACATGCTGGTGTGACCTTGAGTCAGTCACAGTTCTGTCAGAACTGTTCTCGAAAGAGCTCTCTCAGCTCCACCTACCTCACAGAGTGTTCGTTGTGGGGAGGGGAAGAGAACAGAGTTTGTAAGCCACTGAGACTCGGAGTGAAGGGCAGGGTATAAATCCAACTTCTTCTCTTACACTCCTAGAAGCATGTAACTCTGCTTCGAATTGCACTGGAATTGTAAATACTAAAACTATGCAAGAGTTCAGTATGACCATGGAAAAATAAAGTGACCAATTGGTAGGCACCTGCCACCCTTCCCATTCTGCTATCCGCTTTCACCCTTTCCCTGTCTCTGGACAGATCTGCATTGTACTCAGTATTATGCAACCAAGAAAGCTGCCACTCAAATGGAGGTGCCCATGTATGCGGCACTTGGGAAGGGAGCTGATGGAAAGGGTTGCAGTAACACTGCATGCATTGTGCATATGTGTGGTTGGGATTGGTCCAGCTATTCTGGAAATTAAAAAGAACAAGCAAACAATAACAACCTCAAACTAAAATCAACTAGTTGCCGACTAAAAATATCCTTTTCTCTGGGTAAATATGAGGCTCAGATTCGTGCCTTTTGAGCAAACTTGATTTGGCAGCTCTGTCCCACAACATGGAGCATACTCGTCTAGAGAAATGGACTACTTTCCATTGTCGCCAGAGCCGAGCATAGAAAGAAACAGGCTGATCCAGGCCTGCTTCTTCTGCATCGTATGAAGGAGCATTTCACACCTGAAAGAGCTGCAATGAGAAATGAGAGCGCTTTTGCTGACCTAGCAAAACAGGGGAAATTAAAGAGCAGAGTGGAGCTGAATCACAAACAGAAAATGCTTGGGGATATATGGTAGCAAAAAAAGAACTGAGAAGAGCTAGGTGAATGTTTGAAATGTATATGGGTTCTCTCACTTTCTTTATACCGCAGTTCTGGATTACAGGCTGTGCTGTGGGCCTTAAATATGGAGGAGGGGCAGCTAGCTAAGTTTCTGTACTAATTACTGATCTAAATAATGCGGCTAGAATTCCCAAAATAAATTGTACCCGGAAGGTGGACTTTTATGCATAATGTTTCTTTATCCTTCTAAATAATTCTTATTGTAAATTTTGGGGCATTTGGTGAGTATAAATAGTTGTGATAGGGCAGGAAATGGGGTAGCAAGACGGAAGAAATAAATGAGAAAATGACATAGAGATAGGAAGATAAAAGAGTCTATTAGGGAGGCATTTAAAGACACTGTTGTCTGGCCTGGCCTTTGGACTTGCCCTTCCGTCAGTTTCTGGTCCTTTACCAGAGACTCTGGCAAAGGCAAAGTTACAAAAGCTGTCTGATTCAGTTTGAATATCTCCATTCTGATGTTGTTTCTTCTTTGTGAGAAATGAACCCATCAGTCTTTATTTTCATGCTGATTTCTCTGTCCTTGGTCCTCATTTTTTCCAATACAATCAATGTATTTTCCATTATTTTTGCATCAGTTATGTCTAAATTGCTTGTAATGTATTAATGGCATAAAATGGTATAAAAACGGGGTAAAAGAAACAAAAGAAAACAAAATCATCTATGACAGAAAAACAAATAATGACAACATAGGACAAGAAAATGACCAGATCAACCCATTGCTACCAAAGACTTAAAAGAAAGTTAATCTATAACCTATTCTTTTCTTGAGGTCATCACAATTCAATAATTACAGTCCATGGGATGTTGCCATTCACGTTAAGTTGTGTGGTTCTACAGACTCATATTTCTAGTCATTGGTATTGAAAAAGAGAGATTCATATAAAGGGAAAGAAATTTCCTGTAGGTTGCAAATGTACCTTTATTCCCTTCTTCTACAACCATTTTATGTTACACACTTACTTCGGTGAAGGTTGTTTCCAGATTGCTGTGTGCAGCCAATACTCCCTGATTTTATGCTGTCAGGAAACCATAGCATATCTGATCCAACAATAACTTGCAATATATTCCTCACAATGGGAGTGTGGGGAAATAAACTCCCTTAAATGGCACCACACAATCATTTCCCCCTTGCCATGTAAAAGGAGAGTGTATGCACAGCCATAGATTATAACAGCAGTGGGTATAGTTAGCGAGTATATGTAAAATATGTAAAATAAAAGAAAATAAGGAGCTGCGGTGGCTCAAGTGGTTAAGACGCTGAACTGCAGGCTGTGGAAGGTCAGTAGTTCAGCAGTTCGAGATCCGGGTGCCGCATGATGGAGTGAGCTCCCATCTCCAGTTCCAGCTCCTGCCATCCTAGCAGTTTGAAAGCAAGAAATTGCAAGTAGATAAATAGGTACCACTTCGGTGGGAAGGTAACAGCGTTCCGTGCACCTTGGTGTTTAGTCATGCCGGCCACATGACCACGGAAATGTCTTCGGACAGCGCTGGCTCTTCGGCTTTGAAATGGAGATGAGCACCGCCAGGGCTCTTTTTGTAGAAAAAGCCCAGCAGGAACTCATTAGCATAATAGGCCACACCCAACAGCAGAAACTCATTAGCATATTGGGCCACACCCCTGACAGCACAGCTCATTAGCACATTAGGCCACACCCCCATGTTACCAGAAGTGTGGTTATCCAGCCACACCCACCTTTTGCTTGTTATTCTGTTTACCTTGTTTGTTGTCAAAACCCAGGGCTTTTTTGTAGCAGGAACTCCTTTGCATGTTAGGCCACACACCCCTAATGTAGCCAATCCTAATGAGTTTCTGCACATTCCTGCCCAAAAATAGCCCTGAGCACCGCAACCCTAGAGTCGGATTCGACTGGCTTTCGAGCAAGGGAACCTTTACCTTTACCTTATATGTAAAATGGAGGAGAGGAGAATGATGTAAGCCACTTTTGGACCTGATTGGGGAGAAAGGTGGGGTATAAATGGAGTATATAAATAAACTAATAAATGGTTAGTGCTCTGCATCTTCCATGAGATAAAAACATGGAGCATTGCATTTCGGAATGCCATATTCCAAACAAACAAGTGCATGTTGGCTTGCTCAGGTTTCTAGTTGCCTTGTTTGTGGGAAATGATGGTAAAAAACAGGTAGTCAACCCATTTTTGCAGTCTATAGCTTAGGGATGCCAGCCTCCAAGTGACCAAACTTGCTTAATGTAAGAGCCACATAGAATAAACATCAGATGTTTGAGAGCCACAAGACATGAACAAATACTACACATTTTTACTGGGAAATATGCAGATTTGCTTTTTATTAACATTAAATGAGACTGTCAAAAATAATAACAAAAACAGTAAAAGCAGATATTGATAAAGATATTTAGTTGTCCAATGACATTTGTTTGCTAATGATATTTAGCTTCCCCAGCCACCCTGCCAGGAGCCACACAATATATGTGAAAGAGCCTCATGTGGCTCCCAAGCCACAGTTTGGCCACCCCTGGTTTAGAGGATGGATTCTATAGTACTGTGCCCCACTGAGGCTCCTGTTATTCCCAGGCTCCACCTTCAAATCTCCAGAAGTTCCCCCCTACCCCCGCCAGCAACCAGGAGAGACCTGGCAACCCTTCTATAGCTGCTTAAGTGTTTTACTTTAAATCAGCATACCAATGGCTGAGTTCAGACTGGCTGTTTGAAGCGGGAGGGAGTCGTGGCAAAAAAGACCCAGAACAAACTGTTGCGGGTTTTCCCGGTCACACTGCACCGACTGATGCCGGAGCATACCGGGGAGGAGGCGCAATGGAGTGTTCACATCGTTGGCCCAGAGGCTGTAAGCGGCTTTTTCTGGTAATCCGGTTATGTGCACTTATGCACTCATGTGCATAAGCGCATCCCTACCAGATTACAGCTTTTCACATTTACAGTTCCGGGAAGCAGGAGGGACGCGGAATAATCGCGCTTTCCAGGGTTTGATACCACTTTCACCTGGTATCTTTTAAACTCGAGAGGGAAGCATTACAAGACGGGTTGAGTATGGCTGGGGAATGCCTGACAGATGTGCCTGTGTGAACGGCCCCTTTAATCAATTTGTGAAACCTTTCTGTCTCATGCAGCGTGCCTATATCGGGGCAAACTGCCTGTCTGAACTTGGCCAATGTTTTGGTCAATGAGGCTTTTGGTTTGGCATTTCATTTCTTTGTGCCGTGAAAAGTGTTTTGAACATTGAGATGCTGGAATGAAATCTGGTGTACACATTTAAGGCACAGCTCTATGAGGCATTTTTGAACCCTGCTCAGCACCTGCTGCCATTGTCAAGGGACCAAGAATGCAATCTAGGCCTTGGAGATTGGGGCTGGTACATAATTCTGCTTGAAGTCTGATTGATCCATATCCATTTTCAAGGTGGAGGGAAAGATGCAAAATATCGTATAGTGCAGAATCTAATGTGAGGCCTCATTAAATTTAAAAGCTGCATGTCTCTCAGTCCTATCTCCAGCAAATATGGAGTTAGCATTATAGCAAATTTTGCCAATTCCCCCCTCCGATTGCAGATCTTCAATGTACCTCTCATGCTGTTCCTGGGGGTCCCCTGTCTCCCCGGCACAGCATTTCAGGAAGTTCAGTGGCTTGTTGGGGGGGGGGGGGGGGTGAGGGACAGGAAATTTCCATTCCACTAACAGACGTACCTCCCATAGCAGGAACCGACATTTTGACTCCAACCCATCATCATCTATCTGTGTATACTAGCCAGTCCACAGTATTCTGTCTCTTTGTCACATCACCTTGCTCAGACCATGTCAAAGAGAACTGGAAACTGGTTGGGGGGAGGGCAGTACATCAAAGATATATAGTCCTCCCTTCCTCTTGAAACTATTTGTGGGAGTTGGAAAGGAAAGAAACACATTTCTGGTGCTTCATTCATTATTTTTACAGGAAAGGTGACTTTAACAGGGGAAGGGAAATGAGCAGTGACAAAGTGGGGGGTACCGACTAGGTTGTAGGGTAAAGTCTGAAGTAGTGATTCTGTGAAGTTCAGTGAGGTTGTAACCAGTGTTCCCTCTAAGCTGAGTTAGTGCGAGCTAGCTCACAGTTTTTTAGCCTCCGGATCACACATTTTTGTCTTAGCTCAGGAAAGATGGCTCCAGAACAAACTAATTTATGTAGTAGCCAGATCACTCACTCACAATGTTAATGCCAGTAGCTCACAAGAGTAGAGTTTTTGCTCACAAGACTCCACAGCTTAGAGGGAACATTGGTTGCAACGCTAGTTCCTCTTGCTCCTAATCAAGTGCCATGCTTATTTAATTAAAAGTCAGTCCCTCTTGTTTCACTTTATTACTCCACTTTACAATTTAAAATATGATATATTTCAAAATTCTGTTTCATTTTTATGCCTGAGTGGTTGGCATTCATTAGCCTTGGCAGCCTAGGCCACTAGCCACATACAGTAGAGTCAGATATGTGTGAGCCCCCAGTTGATTTTGGTGCAGCTGTCCTAGCTGCTGAAACTGACTTGACCTTTTGGTAAATGTGAATTGGTAGAGGGCTCCAGAGCTGCTGCTTTCACCTCCTCCACGGAGGGAATCCGTGCTGGTAAATATGGCGCATGCAGCAAGGTGTCATAGTGATGCACAATGTACACAGAAGGAAAGGGAGCACCAAACAGCTTTCTGATCAATGTGCTACGTCCTCCCATTTTCATGCACTTCATTTCCCACACAGCGATGGGAAAATGCACATGCTCAGAAAAGAAAAGATAGCCCCTGTAGAGCTCCAGATAAAAAGTTTTTTTAAAACCCAAACTTCCACTAATGCAGTGCATAACTGGCAGCCCGGTCATATTTAAGCAGTGTGGAGGTTCACCTATCACTAGTTCTTAACTAACAGAAGATGAATGTGGTTAAGAGCAGGAAAAAGATAATGGGAAAGATGGGCCTATATAATTCCCAAACCCTACGAACACCTCTGCTGTGCTGTCCATAAAATTTCATAGGCCTGGAGGTGGTGGATAATAAAATGTTTAGTTTTATTTCTATTTACGACGAAGGCCAGCAATTGACATTTAAAATACAACAAAATTAATAAATAGTAAGAACACCAGTGAATAAAGGTAAAAGAAGCTTAAAACAGGAATAAAATACATTTTAAAATTCTTAACAGACAGTTAACAGTGAGATGATTGACATTTAACTTGCTGCGTTATAATGGATTTTCTAATCCTTAAGGCAATCCATCTAAATCTGGCCACTTGCTATGTTACCTCCAAATGCCTATCCACAAGGAGATTTTTCATAATACGAACTCTTTGCCTACTAGTGAGAGGTAAGGACTTGGGGGGCAGTAGTGATTTACAGAGATTATTATAGGCCTTACAGTCAAACATAACATGTTCTAAAATAATGTTTTTATCCATGTATAATATTATCAAAACACTCTGATTTTTATTTATTTATTTGCAGTGTTCTGTGACATGTGGAAAAGGCTACAGGCAACGGCTGGTCTCCTGCAGTGAAATTTACACTGGGAAGGACCATTACGAGTATGGTTATCAGAACACTATCAACTGCCCTGGCACACAACCACCAAATGTAGACTCATGCTACCTGGGTGAATGTCCAGTTTTGGCAATGTGGAGAGTTGGAAATTGGGGAAGTGTATGTTTCTAGTACTTCTTATTTTATTATTCCTTTTTTCATTTTAATGTGGCCTGACCTGTCCTGAGGGTTTGTAACAGCCAAATATGGGAAAAGAGTATTTCCTACACACACACACACACAGAGAGAGAGAGACAGAGAGAGAGAGAGAGAGAGAGAGAGAGAGAGAGAGAGAGAGAGAGAGAGAGAGATGCTTCATTTTTTAATAACCCTTCATCTCCATTACTCTGCAGTATGGCCCCTTGGACAACTGAGGGACTGATAGACGAAGGAAGGAAGAACATGGCAGTTTAACTAGGAATCATCAAATTTTATTTAAATACGTGTAATCTCTGCTTCTAGGAGCTATGGAACTTCCCTTGTGGACAACCCAAATTCCACTTACAAGGTCACATCTTGCCCTTATATTTAACTGTGAGAACCTCTGTCAGTTGCCCAGAGTTCACAAGGATCTAATCTTGCTGTGTCCAATTGATTGTGTTGCCTGGATACAGAAATTAAAATCTCCCCCATGTGAATGTTAGAAAAAGCTTTTTTACAACAGCATCTGAGTGAGATTTGTATTTGGAAGATGTATTTTCACTGGGCTTCACACACTGTGCATAGGGTTTTTTTTTTGTTATTGCACATCTTAGCTAATGGAAAAGGGGGGGAGTCAGTCCATTGTACTGAACAAATGCAACATTCAGGCACAGCTGTGCTTTGCTTGTGTAGATAGTTTCTTCCTTTCTGTATTGCGTTAGACATGGAGACAGCCTTAGTATCTGTGGGTTTCAGAGCAAGAGATTTCTGTCAGAGCAAAGTGGGCTTCTTACCTCCTTAATGTCTTTATATCTATCATCTGGGACTCAGAGAGCAGAAGAAGTAGAAGCATTTGGGACCACTTGTGGTCCTCAGTGACTGGAGAAGGCAGGCAGGGAAGAATGTTATACATAATCAGAACGAGTGACTGTTTGGTGCGTAACCAGTGGTGTTGGGTGGGGCATGAACACATGAAGCTGCCTTATACTGACTCAAATCATTGGTCTGTTGAGGTCAGCCTTGTCTACTCTGACTGGCAGTGGCTTTCCCGGGCTTTCTAGTCCTTTTAACTAGAAATGCTGGGGACTGAATCTTGGACCTTCTGCATGCAAAGCAGTTGTTATACTGCTGTGCCAACAGCCCTTCTTAAGGCAATGATCTGAGGACAAAGTGATTGAAATGGGCTGTACTCTTTTGTAGGCTACCAGTGATGGAAGCATCTGTCTAATACAGCTTATCCCCAAGGAGCTCAAGCAACATACACTGTAATCCTTTCCATTCTCCCTGCAACTGTGAGAAGCACATTAGGTTGAGAGAGAAGTCATTTTCAGTAACATGTAATGGGAGTCCCACCAATGGGAGCAATGCTGTTGACATCATGGGTGCCATTTTGTGTGCATAGGGCAGCGCACAGATATTTTTTAAAAATGTGTACAGCTTTGGTACGTGCCACCCCTTGAAACGTTGACCACATGTGGTGGGGGCATTATGGGTAGCACACCCTTCTATTAGTGAGCTCCTGGTAAACATGATGCAATGATTGGCCCACTGTCACCCAGCAAGCTTCATAGCAGAGTGGGTATTTAGACCCAGGCCTCTCAGATCCTAAACCACTATTAACCATGACGATACACTGGCTCTCTGACTAGGGATATCAGGGGACTGGCACCTGAGATAGCAGAGATCCATGACCTTTTGCTGAAACCTTTTGAACTATGGACAGCTCTAACTGGTCCCTTAATCCCCACACCCCCAAAAAAACATATGCCTGAGTCAGTGGACTGCAGATTATGTCCTTGAATATACCACAAAGCATCACATCCCAGTACCTGTCTTCTCTTTTGTGCAGTCCCGGATAATGAGATTACGTTGGGGTTTATTTGCAGGAAGGTGATACTAGCAAGAGTATTTTGGGGCCGGAGCGTGCCGGAGCACTGCTCCGGGAGCCCAGGAGCTGGCAAAATGGTGGTGGCAGCAAGCCGCGCCCCCAGCTCCCTGCGGTACAGCCTGACACTGGCTCCCCGGAGCCCGCGCTGGAGCACTGCGGCCCCAGGGAGGCTCAAGGAGGCCCATCTCTGCTTTTCCGGGGCCCACGCTGGAGCGCTGCGGCCCCGAGGAGGCCCGTCGCTGCCTCCCCGGGCCAGCGCCAGAGCGTTGCGGCCCGGGAGAGCCCAGAGGATGCCCGTTGCCATCTCCCTGGGGCCCGTGCTGGAGCGCTGCGGCCCCAGGAAGGCCGGAGGAAACCCGTTGCCATCTGTCCGGGGCCTGCGCCAGAGCACTGCAGCCTGGGGGAGGCCAGAAGAGCCCCCCACTGCCTTCCTGGGCCAGCACCAGAGCGCTGCGGCCCAGGGAAGGCCAGAAGAGGCCCCCCGCCACCTCCCGGGGTAAGTTAGGGATCTGCGGGGGGTCCCGGAGGCTTGATTGGGGGAGTGGGGGGGGGAGAGCCTTCCCCCACCTCTTTGCCCTCTTCTCTTTTCCTTCTCTTTCTTCCTTCCTCTCTTTTCCTCCTTTTCTTCTCTCTTTCTTTCATTCCCTCCTTTCCTTCCCTCATTTTCCTCTTTCCTCCTTCTTCCCTTCTCTCTTTCTTTCTTTCCCTCCTTCTTCTCTTTCTTTTCTTCTTCCTTCTTTCCTTCGCTTTCGTTTACTCTTTCCTTCCTTTGTTCCTTCTCTCTACTCTCCCCCTCTCTTTCCTTCCCTCTTTCCTCCTTCTGCGGCCCGACTCTAGTGAGAAGGGGTTTAAACCCCTTCTCTCTTCGCTTCCCCCCCCTTCCCAGCTGGGGAAGGAAAGGAGAGACTTTTGAAGATGCCTTCCCCCCCCCCTTGCTTCCCCTTCTGACATCACTTTCAGTGATGTCAGGGGATGTTGCATATGCTAATTAGCTATTATGCTAATAGCCTAGTAGCTCATTAGCACACCATATGCTAATGAGCTCCTGCAGCTCTTTTTCTACAAAATGACCCCTGGGTACTAGCATTCCTTCATTGGTCTCTTAGTTTAAATGGCACACTGGATTGCCTGAGCATACGTGGCTGCAGCAGTGTGCCTTACAGCAAGTCATTCTGTTTGCAAATATACATGGTAATATGCTATTTCCAACACTGCATACAAGAATCAGCATGCCACTTGAAAAACTCACCCTCTTCTCCCCCCCTTTTATTTATTTATTTTAATCCTTTCAAGTCTTTATACGCTCACAACTTTCTTGGTTTTGTTTTTGGAAACCGCGCTTAATCTTTACCCAAACATACGAAATATGTATGAAGTATCTCTCTCTGTCTCAGGAATGAAACTGATGCTAGTTTTCTTTGTTATTTTAGTGCTCAGTGACTTGTGGAATTGGGGTAATGCACCGGTCAGTTCAGTGCCTTACAAACGATGACCAGGCAAGCGATCTATGCCTTGATGATTTGAAACCTGAAGAGAGAAGAATGTGCCACAATATTCATGAATGTAAGGGGATTTCCAAACGATCTGAAATATCTGAAACATTCCCTTTAGTGCAATCTTAGCACTAGTCCCGAACTAACAGAAGTTACTCTGTATCCTGTCCCCTTATACTGGGGGCTGTGATGGTACATTGCCAGGGGAGAGCCATATAATCTTTTAAGTGGGTGCTGCTATGTTTGGTTGAAAGCAGAGAAGATGCCTAGAGTTGGCAGAGGGGAGCCCATAGATGCTAGAGATCAGATCGTTGTTAAGGAAGTTTCAGAAACTATCATGGCATTGTTGCAGGGGTAACCTTGCTGATGCTCGCTACCTTTCCCCCTGTAGCTAGTTTGGTGTAGTGGTTAAGAATGGCAGACTCTAATCAGAAGAACCAGATTTGATTCCCCACTCCTCCACATGCAGCCAGCTGGGTGACCTTGGGTCAGTCACAAGTTCTTTCAGAGCTGTTCTCTCACAAGCAGTTCTTGAAAGAGCTCTCTCAGTCCCACCTACCTCACAGGGTGTCTGTTGTGGGGAGAGGAAGGGAAGGAGATTGTAAACCGCTCTGAGACTCCGAGTGAAGGGTGGGGTATAAATAAAATCTCCTCCTCCTCCTCCTCCTCCTCCTCCTCCTCGAGGGCTTCTCTGTTCAAGTGGTACATGTGAGGACTGCCCTACATCTTAAAACACTTTCTTTAAAAGTCACAAAAAGGTGCAGGTGTAAGAGAGGACAAATTATATCATCACTAGTTAATGACATTTCAGGCACTATCAGATAGGGACCTTTCATGTTGGATTTATTTATTTATTTAGTGCCCTCCACCCACCCACCAAGCAGCTCAGGGCAGCATATATCATCTCCTGTCCTCCATTTTATTCTCCTCCTCCCCCTTCTAAAAAAAACCCCACCCTCTGAGGTAAGTTAGGGTGAGAGTGAGTGACTGGCCCAAGGTCATCCAGTGAGCTTCATGGGCTTCCCAGTTCCTAATCCAACACTCTTAACCGTTAACACCACACTGGCTCTCTCTAGCTCTCATTTCCACAACTATATACCGCACAGCTCCAACGGTCTCTTCATAGCACAAGAGCCATTGCTAAGCAACTTCTTCCATCATGAAATAGTTTCAGAAGTAGAGGAGTTTATGGCAGGGCTTCATTTTGTGCCAGCATTGCCTCTCCTAGGACCTGAAGTGATGCCAGTCTGAGAAGGACCTACTTCTGCCATTTAAAGCATCTGTCCCTGTATTTATGGTGTGTGAAGGAGATGCATGGTGGCAGTTCCCACATTCAGAAGATAGCATTAGAAAGGCCACACAAAATAATGACAGATCTGCAAGCTACTAAAACAACTGTGCTTTCCAAGTAACAAGATACTGCAGAAGGAAAGCATGATATCCCCAGGACAGAAGGCAGGAAGAATACCAAGTTGTACATAATAAAATATATACTAAAACTCAAGAAAGGACTCACAGAGTTGGTGAGTCATTACTGAGTCAAGAAGCGCGCTTGTTTTAGCCAGTGTGGTGTAGTGGTTGTGGACTCTAATCTGGAGAACTGGGTTTGATTCCACACTCCTCCATATGCAGCCATTCAGGTGACCTTGGTTCAGTCACAGTTGTCTCAGAGCTTTTCTATCAATGGCTGTTCTCTCAGAGCTCTCTCAGCCCCACTTACCTCACAAGGTGTCCGTTGTGGGGAGAGGAAGGGAAAGAGATTGTAAGCCACTCTGAGACTCCAAGTGAAAGGCGGGGTATAAATACAACCTCCTCCTCCTCCTTCTTCCTAGGTAGATATTAAATTCAGCTCTAATTGTCTAGGCTGGTAGTTTTGCCTCCTGTTGTGCTCTGTTTGAATATTGTTGCTGTTGTGGGTGGGAGGGGGGATTTTAAGTATACTCCCTAGGCAGGAAGTTTATGGGCTTTAGCGATATAGAACAAATGAAATGATACATTTAATTGGGTCAATCCAGCTTGATGGCTTTGCATCTTTGATTCAAAACAGCAGTCTGTCACACTAATTCAATTGCTGCTTAGTTATTAACATGTCTTTGACTTAGGTGAGTTACCAACAAGCTGCAAGGAAGTAAAAACTCTCAAAGGCATCAGTGAAGATGGAGAATATTACCTTAAAGTCAAAGGAAGGCTCTTAAAGGTGTGTTTGAACCACCTCATACATCTTTGTAATGCAGGTTATAGAGTTTGAACGCTTCATGAAATCTTGAGGTCCTGATTGTGGGGCATCAAAAAGTTCTGAGGACAATGATGAGAATGGTAATCTATCTGGAACATGTTAGTACACAGTCATGCACAAGGCACTTATGTTCTGTTTCTGCAATAGGGATTCCCCATCTCCCACCCTTCCCTCCTACTTAGATTTCCTTACAGTCCCTAGTCACAGATGCACTTTCATGCTCAGCAGACCTTTGCTGACTGCAGAACTGAGGGGGCATTTTGTTAAAACTTCATTGTTGGATCATTTGCTGTTGTGAGTCTTTGGCAACAGAGACTATAGGTGTCAAATTCATTTGTTACAAGGGCCAGATCTGACATATATGTCACTTTGTTGGGCCGGGCCATGTGTGCCATAAAATGTAATGCCAGGTACCGGAGATATAAACTTCATAAAGGACACAGGCAAACCCATGTAACGATATTATTTTTTACTCAAAATATGAACAAAAGCAATTGATTCCTAGCAGTGAAAGCAATCAATTTACTGGGGAACCCACAAAAGCCCCAATAAATGTATGTAATTATAAGCAAAATTAGATTTTTCCCCCAAGGGATACCATAAAAGGGGGAGCCCCTTATATTTCCATATGTACCAGTTGCTTGTGGGCCAGGTAAGAGCCCTGGACAGGCCAGTTCTGGCCCCCGGGCCTTATATCTGAAACCCCTGCAATAGACCATCTCATGTTATTTCACAATCAATGGACTGTGATCATGCCTATCCTGATCAAATATCAGCTTCCTGTTGAATACTGGGCAATGTCTTTTCTTTCAGTAGGTACCAATCCAATAATAATTCAAATCTGTTGCCAAATTTTTGGCAATAATGACTTCTTTTATTCACTATTAAGATGGGTTTTAATTCATTAATACTTCCTGTGAAAATAGCATTTGAGTGTTGAAATGCTTTATTATGTTATGTATTTTATTATGTTTTGGTGTACTGATTCTCATGCTTAAGACCTCTGGTCAAAACAGCTTTTTTAAAAAAGGAAAGGAAGGTCTGATTACTTTACAGATTGCTTTTCTGCAATGCCTCTCAGCTGTGTATTTCCACAAGAAATGGAAAGTTCTTGCTGTAAAGTGTTGCAGTTTTGTTTGCAGTGGATGGAAGCAAGGGTCTGCTCTTGGTCAATAAGATGTCTGATTTCCAGAAGAAGAATTTCTAGAGAAGAACCCACACTCTTTTTAGTGTCATTTATTAATACTTAGTGTTTTAATTAGGGGCATGCACCTTGAAACTCATTTGTGGTGCCATGATTTTTGTTTTGTTTTGTTTTAAGAATCTAAATGACAGGTAATTTGGTAGTGCTGTGATGTCTGCCTGCTTGGCATGTTCCATCTTTTGCTTTTCTAATCCCGCATTCAGTGGCTAGAGATGAAATTGTGGCCTTGTTTCCCCTAGATATATTGTTCTGGCATGGAATCTGACAGACCAAAAGAATATGTGACTCTTGTAAACGGTGAAGCAGACAATTTCTCTGAAGTCTATAGCTACAGGTAAGAACCATCAGCTGTCCCCTATTTTACAAGACTTTGTTTTCTGTCCCTGGTGTTTTATTTCCTGTCATGAGTAGAAAAAGGGTCTTTCTTTTGATGCAGATTACATAACCCGACCGAATGTCCACATAACGGGAGCAGAAGAGAAGACTGCCAGTGTAGGAAAGACTACACAGCAGCTGGGTTTTCTGCCTTCAGCAGAGTAAGGCTGGACCTGAATGCTATGCAAATAATAAGTGAGTAACAACAGGGATGTATCAGTTTCTCTTTTTTGCTGTTGTCACCGTCCCATTATTTATTTAAAACGAAGTAATTCTAGCAAGCCATGTCCCCGCAGTGCCTGGGTTAAAATTTTATATTACACTGCCCTGCACTTGAGAAGTAGTGTCATTTAAAATCACAATAATGAGTACTTTTTTATTCCGTTCGGGCAAAGGGGGAAAGGTCTTCCTGTTGCTCTGACTTCTTTCGCCCTACTGCACATTCAGCTGGTTGTGTCTCTGGGGAGAGGTTCATTCCTCCCCCCACCCAGCATTCAAATCATGTTGCTGTGTAAATTCTGCTTCATATTTGACTCCATTTTGTACAAAGGCAGGATACATTCCCAGAGCTCCTTTCAGATTCAAGACCCACTGGAATGAATGGAGGGCAGGCTGAAGCAGTCTGTGGCAGATTTCACCCTTTAGCAACAATGTCATGGCTTCTTCTTTTTTTTTAATTTCATCCTGAGCTAGGCCTACAGACAGTCCCTGTGGAAAAAGTTCCTGAAGGGTGGAAATGAGTTTTGAATAAGGCCAGAGGGGAGGTATTTTCCTAGCCTGCAGTTCTTTAAACACTGCTAGGACCAAAGTCAACGTCTCGCTACTGCCATTCTCAAAACCAAATTTTAGGGAAAGCCTTTCTTAATGTCACTCTGCTTTTACGGTCCCTCCCAAGACAATCCCAAAATGTCAAACACGATGCAAAACATAAGGCAAAGGGAGGAAAAAATAAGAAGCAGACCGAGGGTAGGGGAAATATCAGTCGCGTCTGTGATCCCGAGCATATTTCCTCAGTGTGAAATTATAATTAAAAGATTGGTGCCCCTGCCTCTTTAGAATGCCTCTATTCTTAGGGATGAAAGGTCCCCCACAGAATCGTTACTTTAATAAGCCTACGTGTTTACATTTCTTGCCAAGTGGCACATGTAATTGACAACATCATTATTCAGTGCGGATCCCACTGGATTCACAAGATTAATGCATGAAGGCAGGTGCACTGTACTTAATAATGATCAAATGTTTGGGTTCTCTTTTTTCCTTTCTCCACTGCTCCATTCCCTCTGCCTCTTTGCTTTTCACCAAATATTTTTCACAGCAACCGATTTACAGTTTGCACAGACACTTGATGGACGACCTGTGCCTTTCGCCACTGCTGGGGATTGCTACAGTGCAGCCAAGTGCCCACAGGTACCTTGACAATAACGCTGCAAGGGACAAAGCCATGCACACAAACATCTCACTTGGTGTTGTTGCCTTTTGTTAGACACCTGTCAAAATGGGGCTAACAGTCTGGCAAGTACTTGGAAGGGAGGCCTCCAAGGAATACTAGGGCTGGGACACTGAGGCAGGCAATAGTCAATCACCTCTCTGAAACGTCTGAGCCCCACTAGGGGTCGCCAGAGGTCAACCAGGACTTCCAAGCACACCCTCACAAATACTAAAAAAAAAAAAAGATAGAAAATGGGGATAACAGTGTCCAGTAGCTGGAGAGACTTGTAACATGCCGTACATTCCTTAACTAAGATGAGGTGTTGTTTTGTTAGTATAAATGCAGGTTGTGCACATTGTAGATAAGTAAAGCTGAACTTGCCGATCCAAGCTGAGACTGAGAGGGAATGAGTACAAAAAGTAATTGAGTCATTTCCTGCAGATGGCATTGGATCTGCAGTGGTCATGTTACACAACCGTATTATTCCCGTGATAACTTGAAGTGGATAATATGAACCCTGTGGTTATGATAATTACCCTTCAGTTTACAATATGAAAAGCTTTAACGGTATTCCTCAGTACAGTCTTTTAAGATATTGTACTGTGAAGGGATTGTTTGCTCAGGATCAGAGCCAATGAGACCAACTCAGGCAGTGGATTTGGGACACAGCATCGTCCTGTCTATCTTTACCAGCCTCCCATCCCACCCACCCATCTTCTCCATGACTGCCACTCTTGTTGCTCCCCAGGCCTCTTTTAAAACCATGTGGCAAGCCACACATACCGTGTAAGGTTTCCTACACTTTCACAAAATAACTTCCTCTCATAAGAATGTGCTGATCATTTTGTTTTCCCTAGCTGTGGGAAAACAAAAATGGTAGCCAAACTCTCACAAGTAGAGATGCCGAACACCTGCCAGTTTGGCCCACGCTGTGTTCGCTGGTTGCAAACAGGGAACTGATTTTTCAGTGATCAGTTCAACTGTTTGTTGACCCATTCTTGGCTGTTTGTCATATTGCTTTACTATATTCCTTCATAAACGTGCAGTACCACACAATTGGTGCTTTTTTTGTGTGTATGTGCTCTCTCATACAGCCCTGTTGGGTTCTTCTGCCTGCCCACCCCCATCCTTGCTGCACAACTTCTTCACTAAGCCGGCTATTGTTTAAATAGAAAATTAAATCAGTCACAAATCAGTCATAAATAAACGCTGTGTGTTAATGAAATCCTGTTCTTCAGTATTTGTTTACATAGTCCCTAGCAGTGTGAGTGACTATTGGGTTGAATTGGCAGTGTCTGTGTGCACGCGTAGTTCTGCAAAAACCTGATACACACCTGTTCAGCTGCCTTTGTGGTCATTTGGCACAAACCGGAGAAGTTGGGTGATTTGGTCACATCTGACTGATGCCTTTGAACACACAAGTTCAATTGTCAAACATGCTTGTGGTGAAATTTGCAGCACCCCTGCTCTACTGAGTTTGGGAAAACATATAGGGCATTTATTTATTTATTTATTTATTAAATTGGATTTGCTAGGCCGCCCTTCCCTACAAGTAGGGCTCAGGGTGGCTTCCAACAAGCCTCCTGGGGGCGGGGTTATGAGGGATGGGAAGAATATATGAGAGTGCCAGATGTCATACTGTCCCATTGCTATCCTCAACCGAAGGCCTGGCAGAACGTCTGCTGGATTATGTTTAAAGTAAACTGAGGGATTAGTTACTCTGACTTCCAGACAGAGAGAGCAGCAGAGGGAGTGAAGCAAGGCTGTGGCAGTGGGGGCTGGCCTCAAGCAGACTATGGGTTGAATTGGTCCTTCCCAGGGTCATCCAGCAATATCCTTTTGGCTCTGCTCCCATAAAGGAACCTCTAAAACCTCTTCACATAAGTGAACCGCTGTCCATAATAGGGATACCAGCCTCCACATTGGACTTGAGCTATAAATCCAAGGGATTCCCCGTCTCCAGACCACAGAAATCAATTCCCCTGAAGAGAGTGGAAGCTTTGGAAGGTGGACTCTGTGGTATTGTACTCCTCTGAGGTCCCTGTCCTCCCCAGACTCCACCCCCAAATCCCCAGAAGTTTCCCAACCTGTATCTGGTAACTGTACCCATCCATCCCCTGCCGGTGGCTGGGGGGACCTGGCAACCCTAGTCCATAAAGCTGTTAGATTTCAAAAACAATAGATTTAAAGATAACATGTCTCCTTGGACGCTTTAATAAGTCTGTCATTCTTCCTCTTCCCTAATTAATGCCTCTGTGTGCGTGGATCTTCAATGTCACTTGATTTACTAGTGTACGGATTGATACAGTTTAACCTACATACATTGGGACATGGTGACGGGAGCACCATGTGCCCCTTTTGTATCCACATACTTAGTATTCTGTTCTGTATATGATGGCTTGACTTGGGGTGGGATGGATGATGAGCATAATTCTAGCCTTCTTGAGGTTTTTGTATGCCTTGGCTATGTAATGTAAAGAATGCCTTTGCTATATAACTGGCAAAGAAAGGAGGAAAAGGCTGTTCTTTTTTACACTAGAGATAATAAGTGAACAAAGTGTCTTAATACACTGAGACTGCTGGGAATTAAAAATGTTCACCTTTACACTGGGTAAATTTAAAGATGAATTAAGGCTAGTAATGATGAACCTGAAAGACAGAAAAGTTTAGGGTTCTTTTTAGCAAGCAAGAGAGAGACCAAGATAAAGGTCACAAAAATTGTGGTTTGATTATTGCGATTGCCTGAATGTAGTTATTTGGGGCCTATCAAACCAGGATATGAAACCATAGTTTGAAGTTGGTTTATTAACTACAGTTGATCTTAATGGTGGTTTTGCATGATGAATGAATGAGGACATTCAGGCACCACCCTTGCATACTTCCAAGCTACAGAGATGCCTAGCCAGAGCAAAGAAAATGACCCCAACATTTGTGAAGGCAAATCAGGATTTGAGTAATTGTCTGTGAATCAAATTCTCGTTTCACAAATGAACCACAGTTGGAAATAAATCATGGTTTTGCATTACATCTGAACTGGATGTTTGTAGTATATTATAAAATTTAAAAAGTATATGAATGCCCACTCCCGGTTAAGAAGGCAACTGTTTCTTCAGTGATTCCAATATGGATACCAGCTATATATGACTTTCTCCAGCACCAGCAGAACATTAAAAAAACCCTGAACTTACTAGGCAAAGGGTAAGAATGCCCTCCACTGGCTATCTACAGCAAAGCAGCCTTTTGCCGGAAAGCGGCAAATGAGGAAAAAATGCTTAATCTCACTCCTGCTGTGATTTGTACAGTATGTGCTAATCGCTATGAGGGCTTGGAACAATTGAAAACATTGCCGGGGAGATCTTGTTAGAATAATGACACCATGGTTTGTTGGTACATGGGGGAGGGGAGTGTAGCAATAACACCGTTCGGAACTAGATTTACTCTTTTGTAACAAGAGCGCACTTTGTTAGCTAGCAGTCATTTCAAGAGGCATTCATGATCTAATCTGTGTCCTTTCCATTTCTTTATTTAGGGCCGCTTTAGCATCAACCTTTCTGGAACTGGCCTCTCCCTAACGCAAACTGCAAGATGGCTTTCCCAAGGGAATTATGCTGTTTCAGAAATTACAAAATCACCAGTAAGGGAAAGCGATTACATTCCATCCAAACACAATGTTTATAACTTGCCACGTCAAATTTCCACATTCCTCCTTGCATCTTATAAACAGTATTCTTCCAAGAATGGGGAGAGGCGGGGTCAGAACAGCCTCTTGAAGCTTGATGTAAGGCATCAGATCTGTGAAGCATGGTCTGTAATTGGTGGATTTGGAGCTGTGGATTGGAGTAAATTCAACTTGATCTGTATTATTGCAATTAATTAGTGGGTCTGCTTAACCGTGAAGCTAAAAACACTGAGCACAGTGGTGCAGACACTTCTTTAATTAGTTGTCTGAGTCCTCAGGAAATATGCAGTAGGGAGTCTGCTCTAGTAGTGCTATTGAGCATAATAAAGTAGTGAAGAGATTACCTTTTCTAGTGCCTTCTTATGCTTAAAAGCCTGGCTCCCCACCACCACTACCAACTCTCCGTGAATCCGGTCGCAATGTGTACTGGAAGCCTTTATTTAATGCACATCAATAATGCAATGCCCATTTTTCCATAGTACTTTTCAGCGTGCAGAAAGCTTTATAAATCTGGCTCCACTGGGCAGGAGTCAGCTAGGCCAAGGGACAATCACCTGACCCATACCATTTTGTGAATTTCACTAATAAGCAGGAAGCTGGGTCAGCCGGTCCCTCGTAATAGCTTGCTCAAGGGCTTCTTGTCTGACCAGGGATGCACTGCTTCACACTGACCCAGGTTCTCAGAGCCATTTGAAGTAGGTCAAAGATGAATGTGAGAATTGGGCTTAATAATGTCATAAATCCGACTTCTGTGCCACATGCTGGGCTCCAGACAGAATTCCAAGCATACACAGCAGCAGAAAATTAATGGTCCAGGGCCATGCGAGTGTTTGCTTAGCCATGAACAGTTGGAGCAAGAGTACAGTGGCTGTGCTGGAGCTACTCTCGAATGATCTCAGCTGTTAAAAGTGAAACAGAGAAGCCAAGGCAAGTGGGGAAAATATTAATAAATAAATAAATATTAGGCTTATCTCAGAAGGAGCAGTGCAGAAGGGAAGCCCCTCCAGTAAATCTGAAGCAGCCAAGAGCAGTGCTCAGCACAAAGACCAAGAAAGTCCCACCTGACCAAATTAAAACAAAAACAAAGAAGCAATCGATGTCGGACACCTGTTTTGTGTAGATCCCCTTTGAAGCACAGCTCTTGAAGTTTAGATATCGCAAGAGAGCTAGGATGTTCGTAAGAGGTGATCAGGGCATCACCGATCAATAGTGTCAAGCTCAAAAGGTTCATGCACCACAACTTGACAACACCAAATAGTAGAGGGGTGCCTTGCATTCCATCTGGTCCAGCTTTGATATATTTTCTTCCTTTTAAGCAATATCAGAATATTAAAAAAAACATACTAAGTCAGCATCGCTGTGAGACCCACAGGACGTACAGGTGCCTTTTGCTCTGATTCCAGCATAAATTAATATGGTTAATGATCTAAAGTTGGATATCAGTTGAAATATAGGAGAAATGTTCAGAATGTTTAATTTGTGCTCATTGTTTTAAAATGTTTTGGGGTCAATTTATGGGAAATGGCAGGAAAAAATCAACATCAGAAAACTGTCTTTTCTTGTTGCAAAAATATGTTAGAACGGCATATTTGTTCTGCTGTTATCCCATAAGTCCTTGGGGTCAAGAGTGGTAGCATTTCAAGGGATGTAGCTGCTTTCTGAGATACTCTTTATATTTTATCCTTAGGATGGTACCAAAGTAATAGGGAAATGTGGTGGTTACTGTGGAAAATGTACTCCATCATCTGGAACTGGCCTCGATGTCCAAGTGTTGTAGCAATGGTAAGTTCCCCTTCGTACAAATGTATTACCATGAAAGTACTGAATTTCAATATCAGTAGTAAAAATTTGATAACCCAGTTAGGAATGTGTTCACTTGGAGTGAAGTGTCATGTATTTCAGTGAAACTTAATTCCAAGAAAGAAGGATTTACATTCAAAAGTAGGAACATGCATTCAGATATAACTAATCAAAAATGAACTGGGAAAATGTTGTTAATTAAATTATTATAATTTATCTGAATTTCAAAAATTAAAAGCAGTCTGTGTGACTTTTGATCTGAGTTCTTGCCACCACTTGAGGTCTCTGTTCCTGCCTCCCATAGGTATTTTTGGCAGATATTAATATAGCATCGTAATTAATATGGTCAAGTGCTAGATGTAGGGATTCATTAAAGAAACCGGTTTATTAGGATTTAAATAACAGAAGAAATTTCAATTGAATAGATACTAAGCCAAGAAAAATAATATAATAAATGCAATTCTATTATAGCTTTTCTATTTCCATTAAATTTGAGTCCAGCTTATGCACCCGGTTTGGGTGCTCTGATAATCTTTCCAGCACATACATTCATCACAGCGTGTTTTCTCAGTCTTATCTTCAACTCTTTCTGTACCCACCTGCCTGTCAGATGTTAAAATGTCCATCAATCAAGGCATAGCTTCCCACCGGTAACAGGCAAGCCAAGCCTTGACCAATCATCTTTCAGTTCCAACCTCCTCCTCCTAAACATACTCTCTCAAGTGACTTTTTCATATTCCTTTTTCCTGTTTCTTGTTTAGCTGAAGCTCCTGTTTTGTCACAGTCTCAAATAGTGGTTGATATTTCCTTATTCTGGCATCTGGTCACAGACCAGGGAGGAAAAGTGGAGTCAGGCAACCTTTCCTTTATCTCTTTCAGAGCCTGCTAGGGCTGGGTTATGGCTGCCACTGTTGCTTCGAGGTCAGACTGAGAATGGCGGGCAATCATTTTCTCCCCCACCCCTTACTGTGTTGCCCTGAAATGGCTGTGGGACTGAAGCTTGTTCTGGGGCTGGGGCTGTTAGCTAGACCAGGCAGTGGAATGATGTGGGCTAGGAGGCACACCTGCTTCCACCAGTGCCACAGAACTTTTTCTGAAGCATCCAAGATGCTATGCCTCAGCATACCCTGGGAAACGTGGGCCCTGGTTGCCTGTCAGAAAAATCACCTTATCCTGCACTGACCCCCCTGCCAGTCTGTTACAATTAGGGTTGTATGTTATAATTAGGGATGTGCAGGGCTCTTTTTGTAGAAAAAGCCCAGCAGGAACTCATTAGCATAATAGGCCACACCCAACAGCAGGAACTTATTAGCATATTGGGCCACACCCCTGACTCATTAGCACATTAGGCCGCACCCCCATGTTACCAGAAGTGTGGTTATCCAGCCACACCCACCTTTTGCTTGTTATTCTGTTTACCTTGTTTGTTGTCAAAACCCAGGGCTTTTTTGTAGCAGGAACTCCTTTGCATGTTAGGCCACACACCCCTAATGTAGCTAATCCTAATGAGTTTCTGCTGTTGGGTGTGGCCTGTTATGTTAATGAGTTCCTGCTGGGCGTGGCCAGCTCGGGAGCCAGCCGGAACTCCGTTCCTGTGCGTTCCTGCCCAAAAATAGCCCTGCGGATGTGTATTAACGTTTGACTACTTTAATTTGCTTTTTTAAAAAAAAACTGTACTTATTTCTGTCCTTTCATTATTAGTGTATTTGTTTGCTCATTACTGGTTTCTCCTTCCACCCCCACCCCACTTGGTGTGCAGGCCAGGCTGCACATTGTGCTGGTAGCTGAGCTCCTATGGCTGGGTTTAATGGTTCCAGTTCTAACCCAGGTGACATAACTGGACCTTTGCACAGTGTGATAGTAACTGCCTGTAAAAGTGCAGTTGGCTCTGAGCTCAGGCTTTTGCCATCAGAAAACTGCTTTGCTATGAAGGAAGCGGGTGCAACCCCTACATTGTCCCATTTGTCATATACTGGATTTTTGATCCAGGTTTAATCAGGTCATTTCCATTGCTGTTTTACCAGTGCAGTTGCATCACTGAATTCCCATTATGCATTAGTTCCGGCATGCATGTCACTGGATGGAGATAGCCAAGTGCAAATCAGAAGAGAGCTGCATGATGAGATTGTGGCAGTTCTGGGTATGATGGGAATGCAAACAAATTCATGGGAATAACTGCCATCCCCTTGCACAGCTTTACTTCATATCGATGCAGCAGCATACAGAATCTGAGGGCACATGACATTATGAGGGCAAATGACATTCTTGGGAACATACTTGTTCCAACGGTAACCAAATGCCTGAGCAAACTCTGTAGGGTGACGGGGGAGGGGGCAGGTGTCCATTCCTCCATACGTGGGTTTCCAATGCAAGAATGGGCTGTCCTTGTTTATTTTTGCCAATGATTTTTGCGTAGCTTTCATTGCTAGAGTGGATACAGAGGAATGAGCGTTGGCAGGTGACAGTTTTCCCCGGGTGTTCTTTATTTCTTTCTTTATTTTTTTTAATTATTAGTTTATACATAGAAAGAGGGAGCGGGAAAATAAAAGATACAGAAATATATATTAAAAAGTCCAAATTCAGCATTCTGCATGCAAATCTTCTCATGAAAGCTTCACGGCTATTATTACCGCCATTCTTGTTGTTCTTCATTTAATCTTAGTTTCTCAGTACTTGTGTCTTAACCAGTCATAAAAGGCCCTCCATGATCCCATAAATTCTTCCATTTCTCCTTCTAATATATTTGTCAATCTGTCCATTTCCCCAGGTTTTCATGGCCTCAGCCCCCCGTGGCCACCATCCCCACCACCACCAGGCTTTTTTTTTTTTAAGGAATGTGACATAGTTCTATAGCATTATAACTATCTACCAGGCCCACTAAAATCCCGTCTTTCATTTTAAAACAATTAAGCAAGTCTCATTTCATTGTGAATA